TTACATACACACATACAGACGTGCACACATATACACGTGTATATACACATGTACGGATGCACTCTGCATATATGCAGACGTGGCGCATGTATAAATATATGGATACGTGTACACATATATACACACATATACACATAAAGATCAGACACGTTTGTACACGCACAATTATACACAATCGTTGTTTTTGACAACATACATGAATACGAGCATCTATGTATACAGATAGCGAGATAGAGAGAGAGAGAGAGACAATCAGTACCGACTACTGAAACAAAACAAACCAACAATAAGAGTACAGTAGACATACCGGGGGACAAGGAAAATAATGAGAGAGCGAGAGAGAAACATGGAAGCAGAGAAAGAGAGAACGAGAGAGAGAGAGCGAGAAACGAACACATACTCTGCTTCGAACGATCCCCACCGAAACCCTGAGCGTTTGTTCCCGACGGTGCGCGGTTGCCTAATTAGTGGAACGCTGCGCGCGGGGCCCTGTGGTCTCGTCCAGTGCGACGGTCGGGCGAGGTGGCGAATTCCGTTGTCTCCAAATCCAAGAACCCCTGAGCTCCTGACGAACGAAATTGTAAGAAAACCGGGGGCAAAAGAACATGCCCCGAAAACGTGCAGTGCGAAACTGATGGAGAGCAGCAGCCTGTTGAAATAGGAAGAAGCAGAGCATCAGCAGGAGGAGCAGGAGGAGGCGGACGACGAAGGAGGATAAAGAGGAGGGCGGTGAGGCGGACCTCTCTTGCCTACTTTCCCTTCTCCTCCCACCACTGCACAACTGCAGTTTCTGGACTCGAAAACGGTTCAGACGCGTTCCATGTAGTCACGCATTTTCATGTTACGCGATGGTATGCCTGATTATGTTATTGACGGGCGGGCGTGACGTCGTAACGCCTGTGACGTTAGATACGCTCTCTTGTACGATGCTCCTCTTAACTTGTACGTTTCTCTGATGCTTGGGTATGTTATGTTATGATCATCTCTGTCACCATATGATTTGGCATGTTATGGTCTGGTCTGCGTTGCGCCACTATGTCATGACATAATATATAATGCGTCACACCATCTTATGATATACCCTGTTCCGAGTTGCTATTGACCGGTCGGCATCGGTATAGTGTGCTATGATCCGATATGCTAGTCTGATTCGCTATGCTTTGCCGTCGTGTTCTGTAATGCGCTGTGATGCTAGCATGATGCGACATGATATGCTATGTCAACGAGTTTTACGTTATACTCGGTTATGCTCAGTCTGCTCTGGACTGTTGTGGCATTAGGTTCATTGACGGATCGGCCCTGTATACTATGTTATGGTATGCTTTGCTAGTTTGTGTCGATATGCTCTGTGTCGTGTTATGAAGTGTTATGTGATGCTATGCCATGGTCTGGTACGTTCTGCCAAGGTGTGGTGCGTGATGCTCTGTTATGTCAGAGTGAGGGGTTCGAGGTGTCATTCATTGTCCCTGGGTGCGTGGCTTAAGTGAACATTCGTGGTGAAGATTATGCTTATTGCGTAGTTGTTGTTGTTTTTGTTTTGTTGATGCTGTTGTTGTTGTTGTTGTTTTTTGTTGTCGTCGTCCCCCGCGCGACCCACCCTCGACCCACCCCGCGACCCACTCCGCGACCCACCCCGCGACCCACCCCGCGACCCAACCCGCGACCCACCCGCGACCCACCCGCGACCCACCCGCGACCCACCCCGCGGCCCGCCCGCGACCCACCCCGCGACCCACCCGCGACCCACCCCGCGACCCATCTGCGACTCACCCGCGACCCACCCACGACCCACTTGCATCCTGCGACCCACCCGCGACCCACCCGCGACCCAACAGCGACCCAGCCGTCGCGACCCATTTTCGACTGAGTCGCGACCTATAGACCCACATTGGTTTAACTAAACAATCGGCGCCTGCGGCGGGCTCGTTGTATAAGTTGTGAAACTGTGGCGCCTGCGGCTGGCTTCTTCAAAGTCTCGAAAACTGCTGACGTCCTCACCGCCCCCTCACTCTGACTGCCGCAGTCTGCGAGATTCTGAAGAAGCCCGCCGTAGGCGCCACAGTTTCACAACTTATACAACGAGCCCGCCGCAGGCGCCGATTTTTTCGCTAAACAAATGTGGGTAGGTTGCGGGTGGGTCGCGGGTGGGTCGTTGCTGGGTCGCGGGTGTAGAGGGCAGAACATCCACCCCATAAGAATCACACCGACGAGCGAAGCCGTTTGGCAAACGCACACAAGCAATGAATCGAACAGGGCAGGGCTGTTTAGTCAACGCCCATGGCCGTTTAGCAAACGTCACTTGTCGGGTCCGGGTGGTTTTTCCTCCCTTGAGGGATGGTCGCGGGGTGGGTCGCGGGTGGGTGGGTCGCGGGTGGGTCGCGGGTGGGTCGCGGATTGGTCGCCGAGTGGGACGCGGGTGGGTCGCGGGGTGGGTCGCGGGGTGGGTCGCGAATGTGTCGCAGGTGGGTCGCGGGTTGGGTCGCGGGTGGGTCGCGGGTTGGGTCGCGGGGTTGGGTCGCGAGTTGGGTCGCGGGTGGGTCGCGGGGTGGATCGCGGGTGGGTCGCGGGGTGGGTCGCGGTGTGGGTCGCGGGGTGGGTCGCGGGGTGGGCCGCGGGGTGGGTCGCGGGTTGGACGACGATAACAAACAACAACACCAACAACAACAACGACGACAACAACAACAACGACGCAACAAGCAGAATTTCAACCACGAATTCCTTATTCAGCCACGCACCCAGGGACAAAGAATGACCGATCGGCCCCCTCACTCTGATATTATGTTGTGTCCTGTCGTCTTCAATTCTGTCATGTTCTGCTCTCCTCTATTATGCGATGTTGTTGCTCCGCTGTGGCATGGCATTGCTATAGTCAATTTTGTCATGTTCTGTCATGTTCGTAATATGTGGTGTCATGTTATGTTGTGCCATGTTATGTTATGCCGGATTCGTCGTCGCTGTGCTCTGCTGCCGTGTAATGATATGTTATGTGATGCTGTGTCATGGTATGATCGGTTCTACGTATTCGGTTGTTTCATGTTATGATTAGGTATGTATGTGTTATGTTGTGCTCTACGGTGTCTTGACGTTGTTATGTTTTCTTCCGCCATGGTCAGTCATGCTCGTGTTATGTTATGTAATGTTCGCTCCTGTGATATTGTGTTACGTCGTGTTCGTCGTCGCTATGCTCTGCTGTCGGTAAATATATGTTATATGATGCCACATGGTACGACATGGTTTGCCAAATTGTGGTATGTTCTGTTCGGCTATATTTTGCTATTTTGTGTTATGTCGTATTATGCTCTGTCATGATCGGATATGGTATGCTATGCGATAGTATGCTACGCTTTGTTTTGCCATGAAATTGACATGTTCTGCTCTGTCATGCACCATTATGCTCCGTCCCGTTCTGTCATGTTCTGTTCTGTCATGTTTCGTTCTGTCGTGTTCGTCGAGGGCGCGAGGCGGGCCTCGTGGATCATCGGGGCAACTTGGGGTCTGGCGGCTGCGGTATGCAGGGTGGGGTTGGCCGGGCGCGAGGCGGGACGCCCGGGACCATCGGGGCAACTTGGGGTCTGGCGGCCGCGGTGTGCAAGGTGGGGGGCATGTTGTTGAAATCTAACAACCCCAACCTGTAGGGTGGGGATCAACACAAACCAGCGAAAAAGGGCAACGAGAGGGAGAGAGAAGGCGCGCGAGAGAGAGAGAGAACAACCACAAGAGAGAGCGACACAGGGGGGTGGGACATAATCCAATTGGAGGTGAGAGTGCCTCTGGAGCGACGTGACAGAAAGAGAGCGAGGGAGAGAGAGAGAGAGAGAGAGACAAAACAAACAAAAACAAACAACACGAAAATTATAAATAACGAAAAGAGAAGAGAGGGAGAGAGAGAGAGAGAGAGAGCGAGAGAGAGAGATATCTAAAAACATAGATGAGGGAACCCTTAATCTATTAGCGCTTTGTCTACACACGACTGCGTAACGGGCCAGAGGCGTGGTAAGATCCCCCGTAACTGCGCACAGCATTCATACTTCGCGCGTGCGGAGTGGCCCCTGGGGGTCCCCGGACGAAAAATACCCCGGGCGGTCCCCGGCCGGGTCGGGTCAGCGATGTTTTTTCTCCTGGGCGCCGCCCTCGAGGCTCTCCAGAGAGCCCCAAGAAGGGCCAAGAGGCCCCCAACATGGAACAATAGGATTCCGAGATGCCACAATATCGCTCCAATATGCCCAAGAGTGCCCCCAGACGCCCCAGGAGGCCTCCAAACGCACTCCCAAGAGGGCCCCAAGAGGTAACATGAATTGATTTTCCTCTTTGCGCTTCCCGACGCCTCAAGACGGCCCAAGAGGCCCCCAAGATCGCCCCACGAGGGTCCGAAAGGGCCCCAAGAGAGCCCGAAAACTGCCCAATACGGCCCTAGGACCGCCCAAGACGACTCCAAGACGGCCCAAGGAGGTTGCAAAAACGCTCCAAAAGAGGCTCCCAAAGGGGGAACACCTGACAACATTTCGAGCCCTCGCCATCAGGGGCCCCCAGGAGGTCCCCAGAGGTCCCTATTTGAGAGGGCCCAAGAGGCCCCCAACAGGCGGTCAGGAGGCCGCCAGGAGGCCCGCAAAGAGCCCCAAAAAGGCTTCACGTTCAGACGTCCCTGAAAGCCTCGGAGAATTCCCAGGAGCTTCCTGCGCACCGCCCTCCACCTAGCTGCCCCGATACGCAACACGCAACACGTATCGTATTGATACGGAGCTCAACACGTAGGCTGAAAACGTCGGCCCGACGCGATACACTCGCGAAAACGTGGTCCAATACGTGGGGCTAACACGCAACGTATTGGCACGGACGTCTTGAACACGGGACGTATTGCGTTTCAAAACGGGCGTATCGAGGCAACTAAAGCCCTCCAGAAGCTCACGACAGCGCTCCGAGACCGGGCAAATGGGATCCAGAAGTGCGAGAAACGAAGGACAATGAACAGGAAAAAGCACCGCAAGCCTCACGAGCATTATCAGGAATGGCGCGCTTGCTTAAACCAGTCTCGCAATCCAATGCTGACCCACCTACGCACAACAACACGCCGGGCCGGGAAACACAATCCGAGATAGGAGGATGGAATGGACAAATAACCACCAAAGCTGTTCCTGCACCCCGCGATCGGAACGACAATCGACATCAAGACAAGATGAGAGCCGATGTTCCCATTCAAAGCCCGCCACCCTCCGACACGAGGGTTCCACCATCGCATCAGATCTCTCCTCCTCTCACTCAGACGGCCCCCAAACGAGGTTCCACAGGCAACGAAAAACGCCAGAAACACCCAGATACCCTGAAAAACGCAAGCCCCACAGGGCGGCAAACACCCAGAAACCACGTAAGAAACCAACGAACCTCCAACATCTTCTCCACAATGTCCAACCGCCACGCGGCTGCTCCACGGGAGCTGCTTCAACCCCAGACGCGCCGAAAGCAATGTCTCACAGACACACGCACCGACCCTGAAGTTCCGCACTGCCAAAGACCATTCGGCCAGCCGACACAGCGGCGCGCAAAAATGGGCCGGCGGAGTGAGCGAAGCGATCAAATCAGTTAGCACATTATCTACACACGACTTCGCATATACCTAAATGTGTATAAGCGATACAATGTATACATAGAGAAAAAGAAGAGGGACAGAGAGAGAGAGAGAGACAGAAAAAGAGAGATGAGGGAATAAGCCAGGAATGGAAAACGGGGACGGGAGGCGAGTGCCGAGAGGCACTTTGCCGTTCTCATCCCCCTCCCTCTCCCTCTTATTCCTCCTTTTCCTCCTCATCATCACCCCCCTCCGTTTGCCCTCCCTCCCCGCCACATCAGTCTGCCACTCAGTCAGGTATAAGGCTGTAGGTTCGTAGCCTGGGCGCGATGGGGCCTGGAAAATCATCCTGGTGAGGGACCCAACCGTGTGCAGTTGTGAGTAACGCAATTGTGGGTATCGACCTCCGTGAACCTCTCTGGGGTCACGACGCGTGTGACGAATGCGCCAAAATTGACACGGGCACGCCATGCAGACGCTGCCACCGGAGCCGTCGGTGGAGCACCCTGTTGGGGCGTGGAACGTGTGAAGGGTGCGCCGACATGGGGGGGTGGAACTGCATGCGGACCCTGCCGGTGGGGCCTTCGGCGGAGCACCCAAATAGGGCCACGAAACGTGTGAGGGTTGCGCCGAAATTGGGGTGGAACTGCATGCGGACCCTGCCACTGGGGCATTCGGCGGAGCACCATATGGGGCCACGAAACATATGAGGGGTGCGCCGAAATGGGGGTGGAACTGCAAGGGCCAGTCTGAAAGAGGAGGTGCCAACAACGACATCGGGTCCTTGGATCCATTCTGGGGCCGCGCGCGACGCAACGCGGGCTCGCGCCCGCTACTTTGGAGACACAAGGTAAAGAACGTCTCGCTCATGCATCTCAGGCGCGAACGCGCGTGCGCGCTTGTGCCTATAGACCTGATCATGATAGCTACCCCCTTGGTTGAGCTTCGCGCCCACTCTGCTAACCGCTTCATGCAAAATGTAAAGCGCGCGTCTTGTCACAGGCAACAGTCGCGCAGCAGGAGGCGTAGCACTCGCGATGCGCACGTCGTCCACACAGGAGAGGTCGGGCTGTGATCGGCCCCGGTCACTTATCGAGGCCACCCTCGATTCCGCATCAGGAACCGCATCAGGAACCTCCTGAACGAGTTCCTCGCTCAGCATGGCCGCATTGACATCTGCGTGGGCCTCGAGCGCGGGATTTCAGCGCGGCGGCGGCGGGGGCGGCCTCCTGGCCCTCCATGCAGCGCCAGTGGGGGAGAGCGCCCGACCTTCTGCTCGGAGACTCCGAGACAGGGGGCCTCCTGCCCCCGCGGCGCCGGGGCGGCGCGCACATGCGCATCCAAGAAAAAATCCGCCCCACAGGATGGAGGCGACGCCTGCTTTGCCCCCGGGCAGCGACGGCGCGAACCGTCGCATGGCCGCGCGGGCGGCGCGGGAAATATCCGCGGGGTCGGCAGCGCTGCCTGCAACGCGAACCTCAGCGGCACGCCAGCGCAGCCGACCGACGCGAGCGGGCGCGTCGCGCGATGTTCCCAGGAGCCTGCCTCGCTGCGCCGAGAGGAGGGCCCCGGCGGGGTGGTCAAGGGCCCTGGACCGAAAAAATCGATGGTGGCGCTTCCTGATGCTATTGGCCATCATGGCATTGCGCTGATTTGTGGCCATATAAGCTTGTGTTGCGCCCAGGTTAAACCAAGCGGCGCGCCCGCGCTTGCAGCCCGGGGCTTCGCGCACAGCGACGGCGGTTTTGCGGGGCAGGGGGGGCGGCGTGGGGGGGGGGCATGGGCATTTCTTCGGGGGCAACCTTGCCGAAGGCATCTCCGGGCCCGTGTTGCCCAGCCGCAACGTCCACGGAGACGCGCCTTGTGAGAAACCGAGTGTCAAGATGTGCGGGGGCACGCGCGGCATCGAGCGTCGGCGCATCGCGCGGGGCAGCGGTGGCGGGAAAGCCCTGCAGCACCTTTCTAGCACTGCTGACTTCCCACACATCCAACCTCCCGACGCGACGCTCTTGATGATGCCTGCGCGGCAGTGGGGCGCCAGGCTAAGGGGAGTCGTCGCTTGCCCCGGTAAACCATGGAAGAGCATCTGGCACGGCGTCGACACTTGTGCGCCGTCGGCGACGATGATGGGGCCGTGGGAAACTCCCGGAAAGACTTTTCGAGGTGGCTGCTGGGCGTGGGCCTCTAAGCGATGCGAAGCCACAAATATTACGGGGTGAGTCCTGGCCCCCCTGACAAATCTCACAGGCAGAGCGGTTGCGCTGTCATTCAGAAGACGAACTATCGACACCGTGCTCCCTGATGCCGACTTGAACCCGTGTTACCCTGCACCGACGTCTTGTCTTCCCCATCAATCATGTTGCGCTTGTGCGGGGGCTGCGCGGACTCCTCTAGTCTCGGCCATGCCAAGCCTTCCCGTTTGTCGTCGCTCGATGTACAACTGCGCGCTTGCCACGCGCGGCGGCGCCTGAGTGGGGTTGGCCTGCACGGGCGCCTGCGATGCTGGATCTACGGAACGGTGTCTCGGGCTGCCCCCACATCTGCGTCGGCCCTGGAGTCGGCGGGTATTTACCCTTGTCAATAGCTGACCCCACAGCCGCCACTGCCGCGGTTTCTTTCCCTTGTTTGCTTCGCAGCTTGAGGAGCAAGCGCGGGCTGATCTGGCGGAACAGGCTGAGCGGTGTATCAGGCTAATCTGATGGACCGGGCTGCATCTCAGTGGATTGATTGATCTTGGTGGCGCAACATACAGCTCAATGCCTGAATGGCCCGCTGTGCCCTTGACGGTTTCCGTGGATCCAGCTTGGACTGTGCGGGAATCCATGGAAACTCCCATCTGGGTCACATGTGGCATCGAACACGGACCTGCGGGAACGAAGTGACAGTTCGGGTCCTGAATCATGTGCGGTTGCGTCATCTTCACATGGTGCTATACTTACTGGCTCTGTTGACGAAGCTTTCCTTCCTGTTGGTTGGCCAGCTCCAGCTGGTCTTGTTTACTCTCCAAACTCGTCAATGGGGCCGATGCCGATGCACTTGCCTGATCGAATAGCATGGCCGACGGGGGTGGGGGGGCATCGGGTTCTGATTCGGCAGGACTGTGAATAAGGTCGTCCATCTATGCTGCGAGCTTGTATCGATCTCTGAGAGCGCTCTTTTTAGATAGCAACTTTTGTTCTTGAGCTCGTCCGCCAGCGCTTCCGACGAATCGATCCTCGCGTACGTATTGTGTAGCTTGTCCTGGGCTGCTGCCATTCTATCGACTGCTTCCAACCGCTGATCCTTCGAACATTCGAGCTGCCCTGCCGCAAACTTCAACATGTCGAGCTCCTACTTGTCTTCCTTGCCTGGCTTTTCGCCCTCCGAGCTGCGGTGGCCCGTCTTGGTGAACTCCATCATTATGTTGTTGACTCGGTCCTTGAAGGGCCGATGTTGGCGATGATCGTCTGGGGGCTTCCATTCAGGCCAAGATGGTGGTTCTGCATACTGCTGAGTGGCTCTTGGCGCTCTCCCCAGGCATCTCGTCACCGCTTTGAGGGCATCTCGAGATTATTTGCTTCCGGGGCTCTCTTTACCTCTTTCGTGCCATCGCTGTCAGAGCTGACACGCTGCCAGGGCGCGCCTTCGGTTGGAGTGGAACCAGTGCTTGACGCCGTGGCGGCATACTGGTATCGCTGCGGCTGCCGCACTGGCTTCTGCGCCGTCGATCTGCAAAAGGGCTTGCCACAGACACACGCACACACGCGCACACACACGATACCAAGACTCATGATCCACTCTGGCATTTCACGTGCCGCGCGTCCGTCCTGGATGTGACGCAACAGCGTCGTCTCCCGATGCTTGCTATGGTTGCTGAGCACTGTGATGACATGCCAAAGCGTCTCGGGCTGGTACGGCTCGTAAACAAAACAGCCCACCCCCGCGTGAACACGCGTGCACGGCGATGCCAGCCAGGCCAAGCGACTATGGCGAGGGCCGCGGCGGGCCACGCAACGCAGCTGCCGGTAGGGCAGTCCCCCACACTAAAAATGCAACACCGCTCCTCCCATTCCTCCTACCATTCCTCCTCCTTCTCCTCCTCCTTCCGTTCCTCCTCCTCATCCATTCCTTAACTTAATGAATAACTCCTCCCTGTCGCACCCCGAGGCCAGACTTTAGGGCGGGCCGGGCGTTTCGCCTGAGACTTCCTCACCACTTATGACCCTGAAGCTTAAAATGTGGCAACAGTCTCCCAGATGGCGGGGTGGTTTTCAACATGTGGCTCTCGCCTTAGCGCCGCGCGCATCCGTTGTAAAAAAATGCAAAAATCTGCCTCTTGCCTTAGCGACGCGCGCAATTTTTTGTTACACATTGCAGGAGCTTCACGGATTGAGAGCGGGTCGTTTTTCAAAGTGTGGCTCTCGCCTTAGCGCCGCACACACTCTTTGCAAACAATTGCAAGAGCTTCGCGGATTGAGGGCGGTTCGTTCTCAAAACGCGGCTCTCGCTTTAGCGCCGCGCACATTCTTTGTAACACATTACAAGAGCTTCACAGAGTGAGGTCGGGTCGTTTTAAAAATGTGTCTCTCGCCTTAGCGCCGCGCACATCACCTGTAACACATTGCAAGGGTTTCACGGATTGAGGGCGGGTCGTTTTCAAAATGTGGCTCTCGCCTTACCGCCGCGCACATTCTTTGTAACAAAATCCAAGAGTTGCACGGATTGAGGGCAGCTCCTTTTCAAAATGTGGCTCTCGCCACAGCGCCGCGCACATTGTTTGTAATCATTTACCAGAGTTTCACGGATTCTGATCAGCGTGCCAAAAACGGTTTTTTGGAGGGATTCAGGATTGTGCGGGTGCATCAGTTATGCTGATTCGCAATGTGAGATCCCAAAGATGGCGTTATGGCATGATTCGCGATCGCCAGAACGCAGCAGTCAGGTTGATACGTGGCGTTGTAACCCCGAGAACAATGTTTTGGCATGCTTCAGGGTCTTCAAACAGTCGTCTTCCAACGAGTCAGTTCCCCCAATGGAAATGAGCCGTTGTAGAGGCCCACGAAGAGAAAGCTTGGAGGGCGGGTTAATTCCAACATCGTTGATGACTCTTGGGTTTACACTGGTCCTCCCCCTCCTCCTCCTCCTCTGGCTTCTCCTTCCCCTGCTTCTCCTCCTCCTCCCCCTCCTCTTCCTCCTCCTCCTCCTCCTCCTCCTCCGCCTCCTCCCCCTCCTCCCCCTTCTCCAACCTCCTCCTCCCTGTATGAAGGGAGGCAGGGGGGGGGGCCGCAATTCGCACCCGCGCGCCCTGCGAGAGCTCGGCCAGGAGACGGCGGGCGCGCTGCCCCAGCCCCCCCCCCGCAGCAAAGAGCGCATCTCCGCTCCCTGGCCAGCGGCCGAAGGACACCCGGGCAGCGCGATCGTGCACTGCTCGTGTGCGGCGAACCTCCACAGACGAAGCCAGGACGAGGATAACATCGGGCGAGGGTAAGTCGAGAATCTCTGAGATCCAGCGGCTCTGGAGATGTCTCGGGCGCCGCGGCCTTCGGAACGCTCTGAGAGCGTTCCCGAACGCTCTGGAACGGACTTGTCCTCGTCCTAGCCCTGCCCGACCTCTGGATCTCCAGAGTTACTTGTCGTCTTTTTTGTACTGGGGAACGTCTTTAGTAATCCCGCCTTGGCCGTTTTCGGGGGCCCCGTAGGCGTCAACCTAATATGTCCTACGGAAAATAATCCGATCAAACAAGTCCGTGGACAACCCCTCGGACAACCATGCTCATTAATGACGGCAAACGATCTGCCCCAGACAACCTCTTGGACTAATTACCAAGCGGGGATCTGGACACCCCTACCGGAAAACCCCCCTTGGACAAAACCGTGGACTGTTCTTCAATAAGATAAACTATCCCCAGGACCTCCCTGAGGCCGCGGATGGGACAAACCAGGTCGGCAGGCGTCAGGGTCGCGGCCGTGCCGCTCGAGACTGCAGGGGACATGTTTCTGCGTGCCCCCCGGACGAGGGGAGAGCCCCCTTAGAGGCTGGCCCCAGGAGGCCCCCAAGGAGCCCCACGAGGCCCCCGTGGAGGCCTCTCAGTAGGCTCCCAGGGAGCCCCGGGAAGCCCCGTATCGGCGGCACTGGCCGGACGCCACTCAGGTCATGCCAGTTCGGGTCAGTGCCCCCCCCCCCCTGGGCCTCGGCGGCTGACAGGGCTGAACCTGAACGGTGTTTTTCGTTTTCGTGCTGTTTTCGTTTTCCGCCGTGTTGTCTTCGATCCGCCTTTACCGCAAAATGAAATCGAAACGAAAACGGCCCACGAAATCGCCCAAAACACCGTTCAGGCCCAGCCCTGGCGGCTGAGACGGGAGCAGGACCCAGACCCCCGACGTCGTGATTTTGTCGCAACGTCGACCCCCAAAAATCTGGATCCCCCTTCCCCGGGACTGGTTGTGCATACCGGGTTGTTTTTTGACGGTCCCGGAGCCCAGCAAGTGCCCTCAGAGCCCGAAAACAAAGAAAAACCTCCCGTCGCGATTGTTGTCACAACGGGAGGGTGTCTGGGGAGGAAGGAGGCCGAAATCGGGGCGAGACGGATTGGGGGTCTCTGAGAGACGGCGGGACTGGAGCTTGCGTCGGGCGGCGCGGCCGTCCCAGACTGGCCTGGAGAGCTCTGAGACGAGTCCCAGAGCACCTTGGAGCTGTGTACGGAGGCAGCTTTCGGCGACCACGCCGCTTCTTCAGACTGGCCCACGTTAGGCTGGCGACACAGGATGGGGCATGTATCACTGCGGGGTGATGGACCTTCGATTGGAGCTTCTCCATTCCCCCGCTCCCTCCTCCTCCTCCTCCTCCATATCTTCCTCCTCTTCCTCCTCCTCCTCCTCCTCCTCCTCCTCCTCACCCCCCCCCCTCCTGCCCGTTCCCCGGTGGCAAGTGCCCACAACCCCCCAGGAGAGGGGCGCCGAGTGCCCCACCCAGAAGATGCCCCTCCCTCCTGGGAGGGGAGGGGGAGACAGCAAGCGCTGCCTGTCTGCGCCGCTCCCCTTGAGGAGCCCGACGCGACTTGCCTCCGCCCCAGGCCTGCCAGAGGAGGCCTCCTGGACCTCTGCACGGGGCCTCCGCAGGCCGTCTCCGAGGACCTCCAGAGTACACCTCTTTGGGGACCTCGCCGTGCGGGAAGAGCATCAAGCGCGGGGGGGATCGCGCACGGTGAGCTAGGCGATGGCTGTTTGGCCCTCCGAATGGTGGGAGGATGCCAAGGCTGGAGCCTCGATGGGTATGTTGAGGGTGTTTTTTTCGCGAGGAGATGATAATCCATAGCGCGTCGACAGCGATCGTGGCACCGTAGAGGGCGCAGGGTACAGCACGGATGCTCAGGTGTTGCTCCAGCTGCGGTTTCATCTCTCTGTACCTTTCATCACTCCCGCTCTTTTGTTCCTCTCTCTATACATATCTTCTGTCTGTACAGATAGATATTTATATATATATATATATATCATTATCTGTCTCTCTCTCTCTCTCTCTCTGACTCTCGCTCTCTCTTCTCTATCCTTCCATCCCTCTCTCTATTTCAACTGTGCTGGTCCTCTTTCTGAAAAGCCGCCGCGCAAGATTCCTCGCTCACAAATGTCCAGCGGTCTGACAAAGTCCTCACTAAGTCCACGGGAGGGGCCGCGCCACCCCACCAAGCCAGCCTGGTGGAGCGAACGCCATCGAAATCCTGCGCTGCGCCCAACGGTGCTGTCGACCGATGGGAGTGTTCCTCCTCTCCCCCGTCGCCCTCCTCCGCTGAGGGGAACCGAAAAATTGGGGACTGGCTCGGGAGGGGAACATCAACTCGGAATCGATAATGGAACATCAACCAAGCTCGGGGGGGAACATCAACGATAGATCGGCAATGGGGCGTCGATAACAAAACCCGACGCCCCAATCGTCGATGAATGGGCAATGTGTGGGACTTTGGCGCCATCTCGAGCCCAAAATGGACCTGGCCGAATTGGTGTCGGAATAGATGTGTCGTCGTCCCACCCGGGAGGCGTTGTTCCCGCCCCTGGCCGATCCACCTGGTTCGGTGCCCCCGATCTGGGACTCGTGCTCTCGCATCAAAGTTCTTAGCAAGTTTCGAACTTCGCCGCAATGCCGCACCCACCCGTCAAGGCCGGCCCATCCGACCCGCCCGTTAGAGTCCGCCCGTCCGACACGCCCGCTAGAGTCTGCCTATTCGCCTGCGAGGAAGCCCGCCAACCCGCTTCGGTGTCCTTCCTGACCCGCTTATTGGCTCATTGGGGTCCGCCCAACCGATCCGCCTGTTAGGGCCAGATCCTTTGCGTGACCCCCTCGTCCTCTTCTCCTTGCTCCTTACTCCTGCGCACACGCCGCCTCAAGAAAAGGGGCACCGCCACTGCAGATTCGCTGCTTCGGTGGCCCGAATCGCACGCGCGACTCAGCACGAAACAGACGAGCCCCGAGGGAAACGGGTCCTGGACCAGCTCCTCATCCCAGGGACCAGGACCAGCTCGCCCCGAATGGCTTCGCTGACGGCCCCTGGACCCGCCTGCCATCGCTCTGGCGTCCATTGCCCGGGCATTTTTGGTTTCGTGCGTTGCGTGCTCTACATGTCGGATGATCCAGGATGCTCCTCGATGGTCCTCGCCGAGAAACAATGCACACGTCTGAGCGATGCCAAGGACCCGTGGAGGGCCCCGAGGACCCGAAGGCGGCAAAAAACCTCAATCGGCCCGTTTCCCTCAGAACCCGTGATCGCCCCCAAGGCTCGACCTACACGGTGTTTCCGTCTTCGCTTTGTTTTCATTTTCCCTCGCTTTGTCTGCGCCCCGCATTTGCTGCAAAATGACGTCGAAACGAAAACGGCAATCAAAATCGCCAAAATACTGTTTACAGTACGACCGCTGACGCAAGAAACCCTCGCAAGAAACCCAACCCTGAAAACCCGCGAGTGAGTCGCACCTGACGGGAACCCCGGAGCACCCTGAACGCAGCAGCTTCCCCAACGGCTGCGGGAAGTCCTCGCGCAGCGCGCGGAGCGATTAAACCCAGGGCCCCCAAACGAAAAGCACGTGGCTTCTCGATGCGCACCCCCGCGGCAGGCCGAGCACCGTTCGCTCCCCGGCGAGCGGTGCCGTTCCCTGTCGGGGCCCCGTGCGCAAAGCAGGGTGCGAGCAAGGAGGGCGGGGCGATGGCTCGCCCATCGCCCGCCAGAGTGCACCCCAGCAGTGACCACCTACCAGGCCACCCCTCCTCCTCCTCCTCCTCCTCCTCCTCCTCCTCCCTCCTCCTCCTCCTCCTCCTCCTCCTCCTCCTCCTCACTCCTGCTCCTCCTCATCCTCCTCCTCCTGCTCCTCCTCCTCCTCCTCTCCTCCTCCTCCTCCTCTCTCCTCCTCCCCTCCTCCTCCTCCTCCTCCTCCTCCTCCTCCTCCTCCCTCCTCCTCCTCCTCCTCCTCCT